CCGCCATACAGTCCCAGTCCCATGTTAACTCTCATGCTGAAAATTAACCTTAGGCTTAAGTGCTTCAGAGGATCTGGGCTTTAGACTGTAACTCTCCAGGGCAGGCATTGTGAGTTGTTCTAAGACCCCGCTCCTGTTCCCTGGGAAGTCAGTGGGAGTTTTGCCAATGATAGCAGGAGTATCTTGGTAAAGCGCCATGTACATTTACTTCTCTGCACTAAGGAGTTCTGTTCCTGTTATTGCTAATAACATTTCACTCCCACCTTCCATCCCTACCATTCACAGCATTTGGAAAAGGAAGGGCAGTTTCCTCATCCCCACTTGCAGATGGAGAAAGACGAAGTGATTTGGCCAAGGCCTCATAGCAAGTCAGTGACACAGCTGGGCCTAGAACCCTTAAGAACAATAAGAGCTTCTGGGTGCTGAAGTCTTTGGAAAATCTGGGTCTTATCTAGGTGCCTGACTGGACACTGAGCTCTGGCTGTGATAGGGTCTCTCTCTGCTTGCTAATGCCAGACGCTGACTCCTCCAGTCATGGGCAGAGAAGGCCTGGCAGACCCCGTTACGCTGGCCCTTAATTTTTATTGGGGTTTTGAAAACCTAAAAGATAGAGGGTAAGAATTTTAATAGCACCTAAGTGACTTAGGAGCCTAAGTCCCATTGACTTTTGTTGAGACTTAGGGGCTATTGAAAATGTTACCCTACAAATATAGATACCTATGCAGACTTTATAGGGAACCGATACAGCATGTATGAAAGGACAAAAGAAGTCCATTGATCTCCTAATCCCTGTCTTTAAGGTTACAAACATAGACTGCACTCCCAGCAGCCACATAGTCCATAACTCCAGGCTGTCGGGGGTTCCCATGTTTCTTTGTTTGCGGTTGGTACTGAATGGAAAGCATTCTCTAGCCCTTAGAACACAAGATTGGAACTCAGGACTCCTGGGTCCTATTTCCAGTTCTGACACTGACTTGCTGTGTGACCTTGGAGAGAAAGTCTCTCCCCTTGCCTGTGTCTCTGTTTCCCTATCTGTAAACTAAAGATAACAATTTCCACCTCTTACAGTAATGATGTCACATATGCTGCTATCTAGCTAAATACGTCTCTGTCCCCCGTCACTGTAGTACCTGAGCACCTCACAATCATTAATATATTGATCCTCACAGTCTCAAGAGTGGTATCTACAGACAGATAACAGCACAGGGTAGACTGAGTGCTTCGCCTAAGGATACACAGGAAGATGGTAGCTGAACCAGGGACTCCTTGCATCTCAGTCTGGTACACTGTCCACAACACCATTCTTCCTTCCACCCACTAATCGGTCCTTCCTGTTTGTGGAGGGTTGGGTTCTCTGATCCTCAGCTGGAAGGCTTCTTACCCATTGCTGTTATTGTTCTGGAAGGGCAGTGAGATGGAAGCTGAAGCAACGTTTATACCAGGAAACCCAGTGCCAAAGAAATTCAACAGCTCCACAACACAGCAGCCTGTGATGATGCACCAAAGGACAGGCCTGTTCCCCCGTGCCCACCCGCTGCGTGCAACTCTCAATCCAGTCATGAGAAATTAAGTCTGCAAAAATTCAGCCGCTAATGTTCAAAAGTGCCAGGCTTGTGCCTAATGGAAAGGAAATAACATTCATTTACCGTTAGCCAACGTGCCTCTCCACCTCCCTTGTCTGCCACTGGCTGATCAAAAACCCTTCTTCACAGGTAGCTGTGGCCTCAGTGCCCTATTTAAGCAGAGGGAATAATGTCATCGCAAGCCTTAATGATTAAAGTAGTTATAGGACAAAAGCCCCTGCGGTGAGTTGGATATTGGGTCACTCTCCCTGCTAATGTCACACTGCCATTTCTTGGTATTTTTAGAATTCTCCCCTTTGTCGAGCAAATTTATTCTTCAGCTGCTTAAAAGCACAGGGGATGTTGTCCTCTAACAGCCTAGTAGCAACAGGCTGGCTTCCACTGGCTCCTGGAAATTGGCCATGGCCGTGAAAGCTGCTTGGAGACCGAGATTATGAACTAAAGAGAAACCTGACTGCAACCCCACAGCCAAACTGAGGGAAAGTTCTCAGCCAGACCCAGTCATCAGCCTCAACCGTTCACACTAGAACCAGCTGAATACAAAGACTTGGACACGTTTGGCAATTTTATCCCAAGTGACATAGGAGTCCCTTTTCAAAAGTGATTTAGGCACTTAAGAAGCCTAACTGAAAGCCAAAGGACTTAGGCGCCTAAATCATTTAGAAGCTTTTGGAAATTTGACCCCAGATCCAAACCCCTCCACACTTTGGGGAAAGTGGAGTGGAAATGAGGGGTTCCAGACCCATGATCGCACCATGTCACCATGGTTCTGAATCAGACATCCAACCCCTTTTATTATCTATTTATGGTAGCACCCAGAGGCCACATCATGGATCCAGACCCCAGCACACTCTTTGTCTTGTCTACAGACAAAGAGTGAGACATAGGCTGTACCCCCAGAGAGCTGGAAGTCTTAATAGAGAAGGCATAGATTATTATCCCCATTTTACAGGTGGGGAACCGATGCCCAGTGGGATTAAGTGATGTTCCCAAGATTGCACACGGACTCTATGGCAGAGATGGGAACTGAACACAGACCTCCTAAGTGCCACTTCAGTGCCTTAACCACAAGGACAGCCCTCCATTTGCTTTTCAGAGCACTGTCTTTATTCCAGTGAAGGCGCTTGCATAACCACTCCCGCAGTTGGTACTGTGTAATTCAGTTTGTCTGAAAGGGAACATGAAACGGCAATATAGAGAAAAATTAACTCCCCCCGGGCACACAGCCCTGTCGAACTGTCTCATTTTCACCTTCTCTTCATCCCCTCTGGTATTTGAGTTCCCGGTATATTTGCAGAGCACTGCGGGGGTTTTATCTGCACCATAGTGACCATCTCTTAGGCAGCACTTTGCAAGCATCCTACTTGCCAGGGGCATGACAGCTCAGACCGCAGAGCCTTCTGTTAAGTCAGTGGTTTAAATCCGCCCCTTGCCAGCCATGGATGAAAGTTGCTTCTGAAGGTTGTTTGGTAGCCTGGCAGAAATGAGATGATCAGGCAACAGACCTGTCCTAGGAAGTTACAAACTGTACGTAAAGCTTCAGCCCACATATGGCGCTTAATTTGTGCCAGGGCTGAGCCCTGGGACCTCTGGGCTTGGCAGTTCATAGCCTTGGCACCTCTGTATGAAAGTAAAAAAACTGCTTGAGCCCCAGGACCTGTTTCATTACAAATGAAGCACTGCTCACACAGCTGAGATAAGAGAGCAGTTTGCCCTATATATGAGTTGATCACATTCCAGGGGAGGACAGGCGCACGTACCCCTCCTCTGTAAGGGCAGTGACTCCTCCTCATGGACCAAGTCCCAACACTTGGAGCTTTTCCATCACATCCAGCAAATCTGGTTACTTCCTGTGACCTTAGCCACTGAGACATGGGCAAGGTCAGCACTGATTCGTCCCGAATCTCTTTGAAGAAGGGATGCTTGTCCAAGTTATCCAGGAGGTACAGAGTTCATTGACAACAGACTTCCACAACACGAAGTACGCCCACCAAGAAAGCCCTCTGCCCTGAACCATAGCTAGGCTAAAGAGGCGGCTCATTTCCGAAAGCCAAAGGCATTGCACCTGCTTACACCACAGCCAAATTTGACCCGTGGCTGCTGGTCCTGGCTCCCTGTGCCTATCCCAAGGAGATTTGCTCACACTTTCCTGGGCCAGGTGCTATTCACTGGCTGTCCCCTTCCCTCATTGCAGGGTTCCAGCCCAGCAGAAGTGGGAGCTGCGGCATTCAGAATCATCTCCAATGACCGGAGGGAAGAAATGCCCTTTGTCAGTGTAACAAGGTAGTGGCCTCTTATGGCCAGAGGAATAATCACCCAGTTCCTGGGTACTGGGAAAGTGGATGATGGCCTCACAGCAGTCATTTAGAGAGAGGAAGTTGGTCCTGGGGATGAGTCAGTGTCTGGCAGAGGAAAGATGTAGGAAAACCCCAGATCACTGTTCCTTCAAGGGCCCAGAACCAGGAGCCCTGTAGACTTCAGTAGCTCAGCCAGAGGTTACAGGAGTGGGTGGGCGCAGTTCTGTAGCCTGCAGCATGCAGGAGGTCAGACTAGATTATCATGATGGTCCTTTAAGGTCTAGGAATCTAGGTGTGAGCAGGTCAAGGCTCCCCTCTCTCCCAGTCAAGCACAGACAAGTGTTTGGGGTTATTAGACCCACCTGGGAAGGATTAAGAGACTGATTAGATGAGTAGGCATGGGAGGCTCCAAGCCCCCACATAGGGAGATGCTCAGGGGGGAGAAACAGCCCCAGGAAGGAAGACTGTGCAAACAACCCCTGATTTTGAGGAGTTCAGCTACAGTCCAGTGAGGCCAGAACTTAAAGCCACGGTCCCAAGAATCAGAACTGTGGCACCCTAGATGTGAGGGGTTGAGCCGCAGGATGGGGAGGCAGGACTGCCCCTGAGGGAAGAGTGTACAGGCTAGGAAGGCATGGACTGGGAATGCACAGGCCCCATGGGGGTGTGCTGTGAAACCTTAAAAATAAAAGGGGAAGTGAGTAATTTGAATAAATTATACCCCACCTTCCCCTAGGGGAAGGGGAATATTGTTTTAAAGACTCTGAGTATATGTGAATTCTTTTGGGGCTCAGAAGAAAATTGAGGCAGCGTGCAAGCAGGACCACCTTGGGCCACAAGGGGGTGCCCTCAATGGCATCTGTCTACAGTCAGTCAGTTAAAGGAGACAGGGACTATACACGCTTCCCACATGTGATGCCTGCAGGGAGCAACTTCATTGTCCTTGCGTTGGGCAGTTGTTGCACTTCTGATGCTGTCAGTGGAAGGAGCTTCTGAGAGCAAGGAGTGAGGACATGGAGGGATTTGGATGGAAAGAAGTTGGAGCACCCCCCGCGTTGGTCCCTCATTATATCTTCGCTTGTTCTCAGCATCGCCACTAAGCCAATTTCTTTATTCATAGCACAGATGTTTCTAGAGGCTGCGACTGCCCTAAGATGATGAATGGAAGGTGCCAGACGCCTTTGGTGGAGCAGCTGGAGTAAGGCTTTGGTGTAAGTACCCAGTTGTGGGCCCGAAGGAGCCTGTAGGGTGCTCCCCTAGATGCCACCTGCCTCTCGTCGGAAGGGCGTTATGACGGAGTATAAATTAATGGACACTTCAGATTAAAGTGTCAGTGCATCTGATCACTATAGCAACATGAAGAGGCAGGGAGGAGAGGAAATGTGTTTCCCCCAATGTCTTTACCTTGAAATTGCAACTCATCCAGGCTTTTAAGTACCCCAGCTTTCCCGTGTGGATGCTCACGCACAAGGACACGTGTTCACAGAGAATATTCTCACATGTATGCACACGCATCCAGGCATGCCCACACAGACCATGCTGTCACACATCTGCTCGTGTACGTACAGACGTGCACGCAGATGGAGACTCCCCAACCCTTAAGGGAATACAGTGACCCCATCCCACACCTGCGCACACTGACTTCCGGCATGTATTCACTCGTGCACACACAGACGCTAATGCACCCCCACTGTTCTCAGACATATACAAACACAGGTGCACAGGCACATGCATTCTCTCCTGTGTGCACAAGAGACATGGGAACACTCACATAAACACCCCTACACAGCCACTGTATCCTGCACACCCACGTTCAGCCCAGAACTGTACTTGTGCACGCCAACCCATGCCAAGGATGCATGGACACTCGTGCTCACTTACAAACATCCACGTACTCTTGCGCACTAAGCCACTCAGAACTTTGGCACCTGCCACACACAAATCCTGCTGTCTCACATGCGCAATCACCACCTCACGTGGGAGTTAAGGCACAGACCCCCCTCCCCCCCAGCCCTGATTCTCAGAGATGTGGAGCACCTGCTGCCCCCACTGACTTGAGGTGAAAATCCAGCTAATGCTGTTTGTTATGCAAAAAGCAGTTTCTTAGCAACTAAAATCATATTCTCTGTAAAGGCAACACCCGTTAGCAGGATAATCCCAGGTAATTCCAGACAAGACAAAACAAAATCAGGCTAATGGGGGCAGCTATAAATAAAACAGAACGAGTAAAATTCACCCCTGTGCAGATGCCCAGCACGAGGCATCTGAGCCCTCAAAATAGGTCTCATTAACTGTGCTGGCCCTCTGAGCAGGGCTGAATCTCACCCATACATGAGCATCCTGCAGATGCTCATGTATGGGTGAGATTTAATTTAATTGCTTTGCTCTCATTTGGTTTGACAGTATTTTTGACCCAGATCCTCAAAGGTACTTAAGCATCTAACTCCCACGGATTTCAAATGGGCCAATTAAGATGGTGGTTTCTGAGTTGTGGACACTTGCCCATTAGGACTGAGACCCAGCAACTCACTTCAGAGAGGCCGTCAGAGAGTAGGGAGCTGAGGTCACTATGCACCTGGGCTGAACTTAAACGCCTTGAACTTCAACTTCTGCAGATGAAACGCCCTTTGGCCAATCTCCTTAATCGCCCAGTCCACTGGGGTGGCAGCTGGTTACCTACTTGTGATCCATTCTGCCACTCATCAGCAATGCAGCCAGGACAAAGTCGTGGAAATGAATGGTTCAGTTGAGGAAGGCCAGCCTGCTTTTATAACATTAATGAAACACTCTAAGAGAACTTTACAAGCAGGGAATTGTGCCTCTGCACAAAGAATACAAGTTGGGGATGATCTCTGCTGTCACCCATGTGCTTCTCTGTTCACCAGAGACTGAGAAGATCTTCAGAGGCCAAGCTCGCAGTGCCCAATTCAACCCTGGTGCAAGCAGGTGCAGCTATGCTGAAGTCAGTGCAGTTGTAGCTACTTTCACCAAGGGCTGAATTATGTATTCCTGACTCCAGTCACACAATATAAGTCAGGGTTACAAAAGATTATGCTTCTTGTCTCGTGGCAGGAGTCAGCACACACTGGTCCCAGTGGCTACTGTTACACACATTCTGATGTTTATTATCTCTAGACCACATTGTCCCAGCGAGGAGTTCATGGGACCCTCCTGAAAAACAAAAAAGTGTCATAGATCTATTACAGCTGCTGCATTTACATTTGTAAAATATACCGAGTTAGGGCTGTGCAAAGCACAGCTGTGTTTTTGTGATGTTGCTCCTTGTAACTACTGTATTTGGAGTTTAACCAGTTCAAGACATTTTTAAAAATAAAGATATCGGATTCAATTTATACATATGATGAAGTCACAGTGGAAATCTCAAAAAGCCAAGGTCCTGTCTGCTTTGAATGAAGATACAAAACACTTTTTGCAAGGCTCGTGGAAAGCCACCGTGTCTTTGGGAAAACATTTGCCTTCTCTACCCCGATGTGCGTTGGGACCAGTTGACTGACCCGAAGTGGCTGCATTTCCTTTCACAGAGTCCTGTTTGATGTCACTACACAAAGTGATAGGTGCTATATGCACATCTAAGCTAGGAGGAGAGATGGATGGAGAGACAGTGGGATGGGATGGGATGGGTAGAGAGTGGATGCTGGATGGATAGTGCGGGAGAGGGATGGGGGAACGGTGCAGGGGTGCTGTGAGCCACTGAACCCAACTATAAACCCTGTATATGACGGAAACCCCTTCAAGCCAGGGGATGCGGCAGCCCCCCCAGGGACCAGCGCCTATGGAATGGGGTGGATGGGTGATGGAGGAAGACGGGGAGGTTGCATCGTTACATCCACTGACCAGAGCCCGTTGCATGCTGGGTGCGGTTGCCATCTTTGGTTGGAGGAATCCCTGGAGGTTTCCTCACATGACATAATCTTTAATTAAAGATTAATCGTCAATTCCTGGAGACTCCAGGACAATCCTGGAGGCTTGGCAACCCAAACCACCTATTCCCCCAGCAGGTGTTCATGTGCACTAAATGCTGGGAACCCGCCCGGGAGCGGGAGGGATGAACTGGGACCTCTGTAGACGCTCACGCCACGCTGAGGTTAGACAACTACATTTCCCAGAACCCCCTACGCCCACGAGGGGCCCGGCCGGCTCTCGGAGAGGCGACGTTCCCCATTGCACTGCTGGGAAATGTAGTCTCCCGCGGGCCAGGCTCCCCGATACTGGCGGCGACGGCAGAACTCCATTTCCCAAACTCCACCTCGCACACGCCCGGCGTCGCCCGCGGGCTCCGACGGCGGAAGCTCCTTCCCGTTGCCTGCTGGGAAAGGCGGTCTCCTGGCCGCCCGGCTCCTCCTTGCAGGCCACGGAAGGGCGGCGCCGGATAAACTACGCGTCCCAGAATTCCCCGCTCTCCCCTCAGACGCTCGGGGACGCCATTTTGTTTTGTATTAAGACCCTAAGATGGCGGCGGGGGAGCGGCACTGAAGGTTGCCGCCGCCGCCCGAGGCCGGGGTCTCCGTTGGGCGGTCCCCGTCCCTCTCTCGCGCCCCTGCCCCGGGCCCGGCGGAGCAGCCGCCCCATGGCCAGGGGGGGCCTGGGCCGCTCGCCGTGGCCATGGACCTGCGCACGGCCGTCTACAACGCGGCCCGCGACGGGAAGCTGAAGCTGCTGCAGAAGGTGCTGGGCAGCCGGAGCCGGGAGGAGCTGGAGGCCCTGACGGCCGGGCCGGGCGGAGGGGGGACCCCGCTGCTGATCGCCGCCCGCCACGGGCACCGGGAGGTGGTGGAGTACCTGCTGGACCACTGCGGCGCCCGGGTGGAGGAGGGGGGCTCGGTCAGCTTCGACGGCGAGACCATCGAGGGGGCGCCGCCGCTGTGGGCCGCCTCGGCCGCCGGCCACCTGGCGGTGGTGCGCTGCCTGCTGGAGCGGGGGGCCTCGGTGAACCAGACCACGCTGACCAACTCCACCCCGCTGCGGGCCGCCTGCTTCGACGGGCACCTGGAGATCGTGCGCTACCTGGTGGGGGAGCGGGGGGCCGACCTGGAGGTGGCCAACCGCCACGGGCACACCTGCCTGATGATCTCCTGCTACAAGGGGCACCGCGAGATCGCCGGCTACCTGCTGGAGAAGGGGGCGGACGTCAACCGCCGCAGCGTGAAGGGCAACACCGCCCTGCACGACTGCGCCGAGTCCGGGAGCCTGGAGATCCTGCAGCTGCTGCTCCGCGCCAAGGCCCGCATGGAGCGGGATGGTTACGGCATGACCCCGCTGCTGGCTGCCAGCGTCACCGGGCACACCAACATCGTGGAGTACCTCATCCAAGGAGGGCTGCAAAACGAGGAGGGGGATGAGATGTTGGGGAATGAGGACGGGGCCTGCACTGCAAGGGGGCAGCAGCAGAGGGGTTGTGGTAGTGGCCAGGAAACGCATCAGTGCTGCCCCGAGGAAGGGCAGCAAGAGGGCCAGAAGGGATGCTGTGCCATTAGCCAGGATGAGCAGCAGGGCCCTTTTGAGTGCTGCAGTCGGGGGGCTGCTGTAGAAGCCCTGGAACTGCTAGGAGCCACCTTTGTGGATAAGAAGCGTGACCTGCTGGGGGCTCTCAAGTACTGGCGAAGAGCCATGGAGCTTCGGCACCAGGGGGGCCAGTACCTGAGCAAGCCTGAGCCCCGGCAGCTGGTGCTGGCTTATGACTACTCTCGGGAGGTGAGCACCCTGGAGGAACTAGAAGCCCTGATCACTGACCCGGATGAGATGCGCATGCAGGCACTTCTGATCCGAGAGCGCATCCTGGGCCCCTCTCATCCAGACACCTCGTATTACATCCGTTACCGGGGGGCAGTCTATGCTGACTCGGGCAACTTTGAACGCTGTATTAACCTGTGGAAGTATGCCCTGGACATGCAGCAAGGCAATCTGGAGCCCCTCAGCCCCATGACTGCCAGCAGCTTCCTTTCTTTTGCTGAGCTCTTCTCCTATGTGCTTCAGGACCGCTCCAAGGGCACCTTAGCTACTCAGCTGGGCTTCTCCGACCTCATGGGAGTGCTGAGCAAAGGGGTCCGGGAGGTAGAGCGGGCGCTTCTGCTTCACAAGGACCCGGTGGCTGACTCTGCACAGTTCACCAAGGCACTAGCCATCATCCTCCATCTGGTCTTCCTGCTGGAGAAGGTGGAATGCACCCCTGAGCAGGAGCACCAGAAGCGCCAGACCATCTACTGCTTGCTCAAGTGCAGTCCCAGGGCCAAGAACGGGTTCACTCCCTTGCACATGGCAGTGGACAAGGACACCACCACAGTGGGGCGCTACCCAGTGGGCAAGTTCCCATCGCTCCATGTTGTGAACCTGCTGCTGGAGTGTGGGGCTGACCCAGACAGCCGTGACTATGACAACAACACCCCGCTGCACATTGCTGCCCAGAACAACTGCCCGCTGATCATGAGTGCCCTGATGGAGGCCGGGGCCCACATGGACGCCACCAATGCCTTCAAGCAGACAGCTTACGAGCTGCTGGATGAGAAGCTGCTTACCAAGAGCATGATGCAGCCCTTTAACTACATTACCCTCCAGTGCCTTGCTGCCCGTGCCCTGGACAAGCACAAGATCCCTTACAAGGGCTTCATCCCTGAGGAGCTGGAGGCCTTCATTGAACTTCATTAGGGTGGGAGGACTGAAGTCAGCAGCCTTTCCCACAGACCCGCTCATCATCCCTAAGGGAGGGAAATCCAAGGTCTGGGGGCAGATCCTCTCCCTGGGTGCTGGAAGCCTTCGTTGCATTGAGACAGGCTGTAGCTATTGTTCTTTCCCATCACTGAGCTTATCCTATAGGGGAAGGAAACTCAAGAGCTTGTCACTGTGGCTGTCTTGCTTCCTCTTCATCCCCAGGTGCCTGAAGCCTTCACTGAACCGAACCAAGAGGAGGCTGCAGCTGCTGCCTTTCCCCTTTGCTAACCATCTCATCCTCAAGGGAGAAGGCAATTGGGAGATTTTGCAGGAGATTCCCCTGTATCCTTCCACCTGTCCCCTTCCCATAAGTGCTGAATTAATTCGGTCATTATGCTTTAGGGTTGCTACAAATTCGCATATGTGCACCTCTTCTGTGCACCCCACCCCAAAGGACTGAACCAATAGTAATGCAAGCAAAGGAATAAAATATCCACATCTTCAATTTAATCTAGTCCCTTTTTCCTTCCCACATTTGGCACATAAGCCTAAAAGCTGGGTGGCTAGTGCCCAGCAGGGCTAGTTGCCATTTGCACAACTTCCCAGCTGGGGGTGGTGATTACCCTCCCCCCCCCCCCCCCCGGAAGAAAAATACCCATGTAACAAGTGGTGCAAAATTGTGAGATTTTTGACTGCTGTTTGCAAAGCTGGGTTTTCTTTTTCCCCGCCAGAGCCAGGCCCTGGTCGCTCTGCAAGGTTTCTCCAATCCTGTACTTCCATTTCAAGGCCAACCTTAGTAACATGGTTTTGTCAGCAAACACTGGCTTATATGAAGGAGGGGACTTCTGATTTTTTTTTTTAATCAATATGGCTTTGTGGCTGGCAAGAGCCTCGATCTTACCAGTTTTGCAGGGGCCAGCCCCTGTGCCTACGTAGACTTAGCTCTTCATGGACTCACTGGGGGTTGGCCCATCTAGAATGGTCTGCAGGCCAAAACCATGTTACTTAAGCTGGTGCTTGAGATCCCCTCTTTCAAGCCATTCCAGGATCAGAGAATGTTTGTAGGGTGGACAGAGCTTGGAGGTTTCTTTAAAGCAGGTGAGCATTTGTTGCAGTGTGGGGTGACCCAGGGTTGGAGGAAAGAGCAGGCAAGGAATGTTAATGAAGGATAATTTTTTTTATTTTTAAAGTTGAATGGCACTGATCCACTGGGCTTTGAAGTGTCCTGTTCTGCGAACCTCCTTTGAAAGGGCCACTGACTCTTGCTGTTTTTGGCTTTTGGTTCTTTCTGCAGCTATACTAAGTATGGTGCTAGTTTAAAGTTTGAAATAAAAATCTGACTTCATCTGGCTACTCTTGGGGTGAGCTGGTTTTGTTTAATTAGGACCTGGACAGAAGTTTGTTACCCATTGCCTCAGGGCAGATATTTGTCCACCTCAGCAGAACCCTGCTTTGTGTTGAGCAATTGGTGCTGGCAAACATGATGCAGTCCCTGCATTTTATTTGGTCTCAGCAGGAATGACTGCTTTAGCAGTGGAGCGAAATGCATAGCTGCAGGTGAAACAACTGCCCCTCTGAGCTTTCAGGAGAGCAGAACTCTTGATAAATGCCCGTGCACTGTGATCTAACGAAGCTGCTTTACTAGTATTTACAGGCCAGCTGAACCATAAACCTCAATAATCCAGTGTTCTCTGCCCGGTAAGGATATTGTAGAGCTGCCATTTAGTTTTGCAGTGTTAACTATTAAATGTTTTATTTATGAGGCAAGAAGGTTTAACTCTTATCAAGGTGTAAAGTGCAGGGTTAATTTAGGTACAATGTTTTCCTCCTTGTGGCTGATACGGATTAAACTGCACAAATGACTTCACTTTGTGAGCTGATGAGTGCTCCTAACTTTAAATAATAAAACAAAACAAATGCTGATGGAATGCAAATGCCTTGGAATTCTTTGATGCTAGGACTGTGTTTTTAGGATCTCAGTTTCATTGGGGTCGGGGGGGCAGAGGAGGAGAGAGTGAAATTCTTTGAGCAATAAATGGGAGGAATTGCTCATAAGAATGGCCATACTGGGTCAGACCAAAGGTCCATCTAGCCCAATGTCCTGTCTTTCAACAGTGGCCAATGCCAGGTCCCCCAGAGGGAATGAACAGAACAGGTAATCATCAAGTGATCCATCCCCTGTTGCCCATTCCTAGCTTCTGGCAAACAGAGGCTAGGGACACCATCCTGGCTAATAGCCATTGTTGGGCCTATCCTCCATGAAGTCAGTGGATCTCCACAAGAGCACAGTGGGCCATGCTATCATTGTGTGTTGCTGGATTTAGGGATCTTAATTTAGCAAAAAACAGATTAGCTGCCTACATTGTCTGTTTACCCATCTACCTACATTTCTCTGTTTTGTCACTGAAAATAGTTTCCCTTCTGTTTCTAGTGAGGCTCACTTTCTGGCTTTCCTGCATTAGCACCATGCTGTTGTCATTGGGATGGAAAAATTGCAGGGGAAGGTTTAAGTGCAAATGCATTATTTTAATCAGCATTTAAAATGAATGAAAACATTCGCTGTTGGGAGATTCTGTAAAACTTCTTAAGTGTATTTCAATAAGTTGTAAACTTCAGGCCTAAACTAGCTGACTGTCCCTGCACCCTGAGTTTATGGAGTTTGTCAGTTTGGTCACTGCTTTTGGGTCAGATCCTCAGGTGGTGTAAATCAGTGTAACTCCATCTGTGTCAGTGGAGCTATGGGTGCTGATTTTAAAAATATAGGCTCTGGGAAGATTGTCCTAAGTGCCTACAGATCTTGGATGCTTCGGTTGCTGGATGGCCAACTTAAGTGACCTTAAAGGTGCCCTGACTTTCATAGGGCAGGTGCTCGGTGCATTCTGAAAGACAGGCTGCTTTAAGGTGTCTCAGGTTGGATATCCAAATTAATAGCCTCTTGGAAATCTTGGATGTGGTATGTGTTTTTGTTTTTGAAAGGGCCCCATTCATACTGGGACATTTTTATAACTGCCATGGGCCCCTTCAGGACATCCTTTGATTAGTTCCCCTCTTGTACCCAGAGCAGTCATGAGGCTAGTAATAAAGAGAGCCGTTAAAGGGCAGTAAGAAATCTGAAGCTGTGACCATGTGATCAGGTAACTGTGGAATCTGGCCATTGATTGGAGCCTCATGAAAGGGGAAGCTTCACATGGCAGAAAGGCCATATTTATTTTGCACCTTACAATTACATGTTAATGGTAATTACTGGGTAAGTGAAATCACTGTGTGAATTGAAGTATAATTACCACGTAACAGCCATTATTTACTGTAGGTGTTGGCTGGGCTGACTGCTGTGCAGGGTAGAACAGGCAGTTGCCTGGCGCCCTGAAATGTTTAGGGACTGTGTTACTAACTGGATGATTAGCTGGGGCGGAGGGTAGAGATTTTTTACGAGGACAGTCATGAACCCTGGCTTATGTCGCTCTCCTGAAACGATCCTGCAAATTCTCCCTTCACAGATTTCTCTTTCTTTTTGGTTCTCACTTTATTTTTTAAATGCCAGCTCTGATTCCCACACTCAGCTCCCCGGACCAATAAATGGCTACTGTGCGGGTCTCTGTAGAAATGCAAAGAGGGAAAGATTCACCTGAGGCTTTGCTGGGGCCAATTGCTAGTGCCCTTCTATGGAGATCTTTTAGGCTCCCTGGATCATCCCATGCTCATGTTATATGATCAGTGTTTACAAAGGGCAGAGCCTGGAGTTTAAAGATAGGGATAGCATCAGTGTTTCCCTGGCTCACAGGGCATAGCAGGAGCACTTAGAGGGTCACAAATGCTCAAAAATATCTCTGGTGAAGACAGGACCTGTGTGGAAAGCCTTGGGGGTGTCAGAGATAGTGTTATACGCTTCCTCTTGGGCGGTCACAGGGCACAGCTCACATTGGGGTTTCCTGTTACTGCACACTCAACAGGCCTGGGGGACAGCTGAAACTTTCAGAGAATCTGGTGTGCAGAGAAATGGAAGTGCTGTTAATTAACGGGGGAGGAGGGGGTGCACCATGGATTCAGTCAAGTTGGATTTTTCGATAAAGGGCATTTGGATCACTGGAATTATATTGTATATTGCACTAGAGAGAGATGACACAGACTGCTCAGGTGCCAAAATGATGGAGAAAACCCGCTGTTTAAAACTAGCCCTGCTAGAGCTTAGACAAGCCTGGGTGAGACTGTAAATGTCCCAGCAAAGTCCTCTCTCTTCCTGGGGGGGGTTGGGAGAGAGGAACACACAGCAGAATTCTTCCTGACTCCTAATCCCTTCACACAGTAAAATCCTTTCCTCTCCCCTCTCCTCAGCAATCCGTCTCCCCTCTCCTTTGCTTGTGGCACGAGTCCCACTGAATCCAGTGAGACCACTCCTGTGAGCATGGTTATTTGCACAAAGACCATTTGCAGGATCAGTTCTGTAGCTTGGCCACAAGCATACAGACCCCATAGTCATTGTTTGTTATATGTATGGAGGTAGTGCCTCAAGGAGAGTGGGGTCCCTTGACTTAAGCACTGTACAAACACACAACAAAGAGCTGGATAAGCTAGGAAAACATGTAGATAGAACAGACTAGAGGAGTACAAGGTAACAGACTGTTAGAGCCTGGTGATAAGCAGTGTCCTAGCATGGCATGGTTGAGAGTTTTGTAGGTAAATTTTAATGAGGGTCTTAAAACATAACTAGTACCTCCCCTTAAAAATGTGCATTGAAATATACACACACGCAGCTCTGTCCTGACTGCCCTCCACAACCAGCCTGTATGCTCCCTAGTTAAGGAAATCTGTCACCCCAAAGGGAGAGTGCGTGACTTTAGTGTGGGAGTCTCAGGCAAAAGGTGTTAAAAGTGAACTGTAAAAGACAAAAATGGGGCTTTAGTCTCTTTTTGCTTTCCTGACAGGTGGGTTGTGTGTGTGCGTTTAAAAAACAAATGCTTGGTTTTTACACCAGAAATTCAGGACTTGGAAATAAATGTCAAAAGCACCTGTGGGTGTTAGGCACCTAAATCCCATTCTCAAAAGTCACCTATTTGTAATTTTTACCCTTTCTCTGCCCTGTTTTTCCTGGCTGTGTCTTTGGTTTGCTGAAGAGCTAGGGACATGAGGATCTCACTGGTACCAAGTGAAAGCTGAGCGGTTGACAGGGCAAAGGGATTTTGAGTCATTCTGGTTAAAATGCTGGGGGTCTTGCTTGACAATAACGCCCATTGGCTTCAAAGCCAAAAGTGTTGGGAAGGAAAAAGCGTCTTGTAAAAGGTTCTGTTCCTCCTCTGTCTTTCACTTGAGAGCTGAGAAAGCTGCTCTCCCAGTTCTCTGGTTCTGCCCGGAGACTTCTGGCAGAAATGGGTAAGACTTGACATTCCTGGTACATTTAAAGTGTAAAAAAACACAATCAAAACTCTATAGGCCAGGCCTCCCCTCCCAATGTGCCTCATCTCAACAATTTGAGCCCAGTAAGAGGGTCCCATCTGCACAAACTACATCAGCTGCACTCTGTTGTTGAGTTGTCAGCCTGTTCACCTGAGCAGTCCATTCTGCTTCTCCATAAATGTGTCATGTAAAACATGGTGGGGGGAGGTATTACATATTCCGTTCCCTAGGAAAAAGTGGCCCTGGGTATCAGAACAGACACCACAGCTGTGTGCCTGGAGTGGTAACGCAATGCCTAGGCAAAGGAAGGTTATGTAAGGGGAGGGGAAATGCTGAGAAGGAAACTCTTTGGATCCTGGCTCCTGCCATTCCCTTTGGAAGCCCTGAGCAAGCGCTATAAAAAGCAAGTCACGCTTGCCACTACCAAGTCCCGCTACACAGCTAAAAATAAAAGCTGAGCTGTTCTGACAGTGGAAGCCACAGCCTGTGGGGTTGGTTATAAAGGAGCAGTGGGGTGCAGGCCCTGGTCTGGCTGGGAGGGGCAGGTTGTGCAGGGGGTCGGAGTGTGTGATTTGGCGCTCGCTGTCTCACCCATCCTCTTTCATCCAAGGAGCTCCCAGGTGAGCTAAGCCTCACGCCATCCCTCAGGGGAAGGGAATTACCTCCACGGACAGGGACAAAGAGGGCAAGTGCCTAGTCCAAGCTCACAGTGTGCTGGACAGAGCTCAGTGCTACTGCCCCCCAGTCCTGTGCTTTAACTACTAGACCACGTGTTCTTAAGGGGTATCGGCTTGGGGCTGGAGGTGATTCCCAGGGCGGGTGGACATACCTGCGCTAGCTCTGATTGAGCTAGTGCACTAAACGTAGACGTGTAGCTGCGGTGGGATAGGTTTGCTGCCCAAATATGTCCCGTGGGGCTGGGTGGGATTGAAGTGAGGGCGGCTAGCCCATCCTGCTGCCTCTGCAGGCTGCTAGGCTTTGGTTTTCAGCACCTTCACTTGATCAAAGCCAGGGCCACGTCCAGCGCTGTCCAGGCCCCACCGAGAGTTTTCAAACAACACTGCACCAAACCCCAGAGCTCTATAACCCAGCTTGTCTTCCAGCTGGACCCTGTCACAAGCTGTTTTAGAAACCTCATGAAGGGATTTTACACCTACCCGAGCTGGAAATTACACCTCCAACCCAAAGTGTGGATGCACCCTTAGTCTGATACAGGCTTGGACTAACTCAGCAGGCACCACCTCCTGCTATGTGTCTATGACAGTGCAAGGGGCTGCGTGATGCAGTGAGAAGGAGCTGGTGGGATGCCGCAAACGGAGATGTTTCTCCCCCTGAGCTGTGACTCTCACGTTAAGGGCAGTTCCTTCGCTTACATATCAGATAGTTGATCCCTGCAGCCTTATCTGAACGGGGATTCAGCGGCTCTCTCGATCCCTGCCCCTTTGCAGGATAACCATGACCCCTCTGAAGACAGGCAAGATGCTGCCATGTGGCTTGATGGACAGAGGCAAGGGCCTCTGGGTTGTTCCCTGGCTCC